TGAACTGTCACTGCAGGCACACCCAAAACTGATAATTCTAGTTTTAGTGTCTGAACTTTACTAGTGGCCTCATAACTTAAAGTAAATGTTGAACATTTAACAAAAAAGATCTTATTGGTAAATATAATTATTTTATCTCTGGGAAGGATGCTCAAGCAAAATGTACTCTTTGAAATGCAAACATCATCCTTTCACAAAAAAGTCTTTTTTTTGACAAATTTTAATTAAGATCTGTAGCCAATGACAAATCATGTCCATGTGGTCAAAAATCAACTCAAGAAAATTACTTAAAAATTTGCAAACTGTAGTATCAAAAATTGGCGGGAAAAGTAGGAGTCAGAGAGTTACATATAATAATGAGGCTAGGGCAACTGTAAGACTTGGGAGGTTGAAAGTCTCATAAATCATTGATGTCTGATATTTATAGTATTTGAGATCTCAGCCTTGAAAACATAGTCTAGTCAGGGTGCAAAATGCTATGTTATGACACAAATGATCACTGCCATTTGTTGTCTATAAATTATTCGATTTTACACATCATTTATCTTTCAACCGGGGGGGGGGGTGGGTGATGATGCTTTCAACTTTAATTTTTAAGGGACAATCATTTACATAGTGAGTTGTAAAATAGAATAGTTGGGCAGATTATATTATCTGTAATTTACTTGCGACATTTTGTTCTCAGTTATGTATGTGTACTAGTACTGATGTCTCCTTGCATGTAATGTTTTTCGTATTACTAGTCAAACAACCCCGGCAGAGGTTCATCCCTAAACAAATCCTGATACCATTTGAGAATAAGTGAAAAGGCCACTAATAATTTTATTTACCTGCTGGTAGACGAGACTGTTCTATTTCAGCAGACTGTAGCAACAGAATCGGCAGCAATAAACAGAACGCTGAAAATACATGCAGAGTTGCGCCAACTGGACCAACATGTTTCAGCATCCGCCTAGCTCTCCCGGGACCCTTTCTTGCATCGTATCCCATATCAAATTTCTTCTCGTGCTGTTTCTTCCCCAATTTCTTATCATCGTTTGGCGCATTACCGATTTGCAGGATCTGTGTAGGGACGAAAGCTAGGATCGCTAAAAGGGAGATGGTGATAAGGATGATGTAGAACGTAAGTTGAGTGCTTGGTTTACCGTCCTCTGGCCATTCAGTGGTGTTGTAATAAGTGTAACGTTTGACAGCGTCGATGAGAAGGTATAGGAATGTACATACGACGAAGACACAGTACCACATGCGTCCCAGTGAATTCAGTTCGGGTGGTGTCTTGCAGCACTTTGCCATAATGTTGGATGGAGGTATGAAGATAACTGGAAAAAATAATATGAAAAAATATATATTTAAATAAAAACAACAACTGTAATGTAATATTCATATGCATTATGTGTGGTATTGTTCGTGGGTGGGGTTTCTTGTACTATATATATCAAAGTTCCGAGTCCATGCTTTCAGTTACGGTGTTATATCAATTGTATGTTATTATTAAAATAGCAAAAGTTTTAATAAAGAGAATACGTTCGACAGCTGCATGCTGTAAACCGTCCAAAAATCATGTTTGAAAATATCGCACAAAAGCAGCTTCCCCTTACATGTTGAATTACATTCAAAGAAAACCGATGATGACCTTGTACAAGTTGTAGCCGAAAGTAACACGTAAATGTCTTCATGCGGTGTTACTTAGCCGACACGCACACATTTGAATGTCCACTAAAACAATAAATCAAAGAACTTACTTGTTCACCAGCAACCAGTGTTTCTCCAAGTTAGTAATAAATCCGTCCGCAACGCGAAAAATTAAAGCACTGTTAGTGTTACTCTACCCCTTATAGCGTTTCGTATAGTGTGGCGATTTCCTGTTGCAAGCGAACTTGCCCTAACTTTTATATTTGCATATCAGTGTGTGATTGGTTCACTTGCGTGTGACATCATTTACATGCCCTAATATGGTACGCATATTTTAATGAGTTCAGGAAATCGACGGGGCCCTTCAAGGTTAGCCATACACATCAAGAATATGTGTACAATGCAGATGCGCCCACGAAGCGTCATTACTTGTGGAAATACTCTGTGGTTTATAGGGAATGCACCTTGTTTTGGGTATCCCATTACAAGAGTGGGTAACCAATGATACATATTTGAATGCTCATTTGACCCAACATAACCTAAATACCATATATATTTTACAAAAACCCAGAAGGCAGGATAAGTGAGTGCTCAATCACGCTAGTTAGGGAAGCGGTATTCAATTTTATGATTCTTCAATTCATCGGAGATATCGTTGCCCCCTATTCAGAAATGGTTTTATCCATACCATCCTTGGTCTGACAGTTTTCCTGTGCCTTGTATGAGTCACGTTGTATTATGATTTATTAATTGCCGCCCAAATGTCAAAACATTGTCAAGGGAAAATGTATGTAATACGATGTTCAGTCTATGCAAGGTACCTGTAGCCCAACACCGGACCTAAACTATAGTTAGATTACAGTCCCTCCATCAAAAAAGTCTTGATGTATTTAATTGTTTCAGTTGTCCGTATCTTCTGTGCCAAATATCTTGTTCAATTGTAGGTAGGTACTAGTATTTTGACGCCTCCCGCCCAACAAAGTTCATGCGGATGGGGTCAATCCACGATTGATGCATTTCAACACATTGCCAAAGTCAATACATCTTGAATTACTTTTCTACTGGAAATTCGCACATCATCGTTTTCTGAAAACAGAATGAAAGACAATTACATGTAATCTTCTTTTAATTGTACAGTAACTTTTATATAAAACCACAATCCCACTAGATAAAAGGGACTCGGGCTGTCACGGTAAAAAACACAACACGTGCAGAAACAGTCTGATTCAAATCCGATGTATTGTACGGTGTGAATTTTATTTTATTTTTACTATATATTTTTATTATTTTGTAATTTTTTTATTATTATTTCGTACATCTTATTTTGTATTAATTTAACGATCACCACATACTTTATGGGCTTTCGGGATTACAAACTCTTCAAAAACTGCCAGCAAATAAATAATAAATTAAAAAACAAAAATAAATAATTAAACACAAAAAGCCTAACTATGATCTAGTTTTAATCAGATTGGTGCAGAACGGGCTGTTTTTATTTTTTTAAATGATTTCATCAAATAAATTCGCAAACGCAAAATTCGCCTTCACCAAAATAGTGTGTGCTTTTTTTTCTTTTACCCCGTCCACTGTAATCTTCGATGCAACATTGACATGGGATTGTAAAAATGTGCAGTTTTTTGATATATTTTTACTGATTTCTTGAGATGCAATTACATTTGTAAGTACCTCATAGCGCGAAGTTTGATAAAAGTTAGTCGTAAATTCGGATTAAATAAATAAATAACAAAATAAATAAATAAACAAATAAATAAATAAATAAATAAATAAATAAATAAATAAATAAATAAATAAATAAATAAATAAATAAATAAATAAATAAATAAATAAATAATTAAATAAATAAATATAGACTAAAGAGAAGTTTTTAATATTTGTATGAGTTTAGGATAAAAACACAAAGCGAGGATTACGCAGCATATACACAGTAAGAGGAACATGTGAGTAGCGATGAAAAAGACCCCGATAAAATTAATCCCGGTGATTCTGATATGGAACTTGCAGCAAGATTAAGGCTGTAAGATCCCATAAAGCTGCGTTACATACTTATTCAGTTTTACACGACTAAACGACGCAGAACGTCTGACCTTATTGACCTATCGATGGCCTAATCCGTTAAGTGATTGGATCAGCACCTCGCCTTTCTGGTGCCAATGAACTTCCGATACAAATAACTAAAGTTCTCAACTGCGTTAAACTTATAAATAACGATCTAAAATCTCGTTTGAGATAACACTTAAACAAAAGTGAATAATACATTTATTTAATGTCCCAAATCAAGTTATTTAAGGCTTCAAGGAACGATAACATAAAACGATTGTGCGTGATCCCGGACCATGATCATGCCAATTTGAGCTGACTTTCTGCTCCCACGACAACACAGATCAGTGAACTCTGTCGTTTCGCGTCGCATCACTCCCTACTGGAAGCCAAATCCGTCAAACCAAAAATGCAGAAGCAGGCGGGAAATGAATTCAGCCATGGAGCACACTCACTTAGCTCTACTGTAATCGATCTACTGTAATCTAATGATTTGAGATGTAAACATTTACGAAGACAGATGACAAGTGGTCTGAGTACAACAATGACTCATAATATAGAAATTTACTAGTTGTTACTGGTAAGGTTTGTTTAGCGGTAAAGCTTGTTTTCTGGTTACATGTCTCCTTCGTGTTGATTTTACTCTGATCGGATTTAAGGTAACGGTGTCTCCGTTTGTCATTTTTGTTCGGATTTCAGCTGTGCATATTTTCATCTTCAATGGCCTCATTTTTTTTTTCTCATTATTTTTTGCCAAATAAAAATTTTGGATAATATTGTAGAAATGTCAGAAAAAGACGAAAACACAAGCTACGAAGCTCAGATAATTTCAGCGAGCCACCCCGATAAAAATAATGGCCGTCCCTGATTGTGTAAATAAACACTCCGTGGAATGTTTCGCCAAATGTGGTCGAGGTCACGAGGTCTGTCGACTGTGTTAGCGATTGACGTCTGATGACTGTTTTACTGCACGTAACATTTACAGATGATTGCCGTAATAACTTCTACATGTACTCAGACTTAATTCTTAGAAAAGTTTTGAGCGATGAGTTTCTTGTGACCAACAACTGGAAATTTACACATGATAATCATGATATGATAAGATAGTATTTGTCCCTTCACCAGCCTCTCACTGTCAGCATTTATTACGCACTTCCTGTTAAACAATGTGTTAATTTCTTACTCCCTGGAACGCTCTCTTATTTTTAAAAACTCTAATCAAGACTCACTCACTCACTCCCTCCCTCCCTCCCTCCCATCCCTCCCTCACTCACCCACTCACTCACCGAGAAGGCCTTCTCACTGAGGAAAATATGACAAACGCTCATAAAAGTGTGTATGACAAGGGGTGACCATTTAAAGTCATGGGGGTGGCTGGTAGATTTGTTTAAAACAATTACAAACGAGACACCAAGAAAACAAAAATGCAAGCAAGGTGTTGCTATGGAAACACTGTTAGTACATTCAAGAAAAGTAAGTACTAGTATATTCAGGTGAGACACCGTCACGGTGTAAACAAATTGCGCTGGTCATACTTTTCTAGCCCCCCCCCCCCCCATGATTTCAAATATAGCGACCCAGTATATCGTATACATGTACTAGTACTGCACTACCAACATCCATGTAACCCTAAAACCTGTCTCAGCCCATATCATACATTCTCATTGGCGACAAAAACAAAATAAATTAATTAACTGCGTTAATCCGGACCCTTTTTTCTCTATTGAAATTTCCATTTATGATTCTTATCACTCTCATACCTGACAGGCTGTTGTGTGTACGTGACCATTCTTTTTATAGTAACCTACATTTAGTACACGAGTCTAATATGTTGTCTATTATTTTAATTATATAATTCCATAATGGCTATTCAATAACTGTATTTATCTACGGGAATAACTCGGGCGGCAATTCTCGGGACTTCCAAGACATGCTAGTTGAGGGTATACTAGTTGCGGGGACAGTTGTGGTGTATCTAGGTTTGCGATGTTTGGTTTTTCGATTTGTAGATTATGTCCCCTTGGCACATTTTAAACGCTTATTTTTGATATATTTTCAATGTCTATGCCTTTCCAATACTGGACAACGTACGACCTAACATTGATAAAGTATGTTCTGTATCATGTGGTGCACGCGCCACTGAAGAGCTCGTACATAGAAGCAGATTGCAAGTTTTAAGCATGTTTAAAAAATGTGACGTTTGCAATTTGGAAGTGGGTAATTTATTCTATCATACGTATATTGGCTGGTTTTATTTTTGTTGCATCAAATAAACCCTTTTGAAAATTACCCACGTGTTTTGACGTGTGAGTAGAAATAGTTTATTGTTCCATGTTTATTTCATTTATGCACGAAATGTGTGTTAATGTAGTATTGTGATGATAATAAAGCAGAAACACGTATTATCGTGGGATATATATTATATGACCATATATTCAGAAATCTGTCCTTTTTATACACCCGGAGCCGCGGTTTCAATGGCGTGTATACATACAGTTAGAAAAATACACAGACCCAAATTGCGGTAAGAAGCGATAAATTACACGCCCCATGCTGAAACGAGTGAGGGAAAATAGAACGACATAATTCAGAGTACACTTGTGTCGAAAACGAAGATTTTACAGAATGTTTTACTATTATTATAGTCCCACCAATAAATTGTTTGACAAGTTTTCGAAATGTATTTATTATTATAAATAAAATACGACATTTCTACTAACTACATGTATATTTTAGCAACGGTTTTCGGCTGCCATGGAAACATACAAATCTAACACTGTAATGTTTTGTGATAGTGCAATCGTGGTGCTATAATTTATAATTTATGAGCCTAATGAGCTTCAGCTGAAACTGAGTAGGCAGAAATTATGAAGAATGAAATTAAACACACCTTACTAAGTAGTAATGAACTGAACACGTGTAAGGATTATGCTAAATTACGTGGAAAAATAGATAATATTATTAAACAATACTTCACAGATACAGTAGAGCTAAGCAAATCATATTAGTAATTTTTAAATATTGGTAGAACCAGCTGCTCCTAATTAATTTATTTCTGTACGCGTACTTCTATTGATAAGCCTTTGATTTAAATGACTTGCAACGAATAAATAAAATAATAAAAATAATCCAGTGTAGCGTGTCCATTAGAGGTTGTACTCCCATCTCAGAACTACACGTATAAACTAGACATAAGCCATTTAAATAAAAATCCGGCTAAATGCGTGCCAGTAGAATCTTAATTTAGAAAAAGTGACACACAAATCCATTGTTTTTTCTGTTATGCGACATCTTATGTAGCCTGACATGTAGGAGTATGTGGCGCCCTCACCGGTCGGGGCGCACCTCACGCGACCGTATCAGGCTACATCTTATATTATCAAAATTACGGGGTAGCTAGATTATATTCATGTGTACTTCGAGCCAGAGATTACGTAATTACTATTTTGGCATTTATAAGTGGGAATATATTTAGCACTTGTTTATACAAATGACTGTTCAGAAACGAAAAAAAAAAAAGAAATATTTTGTGAAAAAGGTATCCATATTCAGCATATTCGGATTCCAATTTTATGAAGTTCAAATGTTTCCCAGTTAATATATACGTTTTCAGCGAACCAGTAATTTTTCTGTTTTGTTATTGTTGCTCAGGTCAACGACCTCAGATACCATGAGAATCATTTCTTGTGGTTTGCACGGAATTCCGTCTAACGTGTTCACACACTGGCATACATACAGGAAATCTGTGTATATTTAGTTTAATGCTTTCACCCGTGCCAGACAGTATTTGTTTATCTGTTAAACTTCTCAACTCTCTCTTGTAGTCTTTGTCCTCTTTGAACCTAATGTCCTTATTCTGCGCCATAATCTTTTTACTGTCAAAACTGAAGTGTATATTATATATTTACAAATTCCCTAAAATAAACTATTTTGAATAATAAATGGCGGTGATCGTCGCGTAAAGTCCTGTTCGATATGAACTCATAGCGACGTATACAACGCATCGTTTGTTTAGATGAAATTCGAACACGCGCTGTACGACGACCACCGCCTTTTAATTTTGAACCTGAACATACTTTATGTAATATTATTTGTTATTTACATAACTGGCTTAAAAAGTAGAAGCAAATTTTCCCGGAAATATTCAAATTTTCTTACAGGACTATTTTATCAAACGATTTTCACAACAATATCTTTATTCTGTCAAATGTCAATTGTTTTAATCGAGATCAGTTTTTCGTTCATTATGTTAAATCTATCATTTTCAACAAATGTTTCTTTATTTTGTGCTGGGTAGTATTTTGCATATTTTACATATAATAAGCATAACTGGCCCTGCATAATTTGCATATAATTAGCTTAACCGATCCTTAATTTATGCTAGATAATTGGTTCAATATGCATTTTATTAGAATAACTGCTCCTTTATCTTGCCGCAGATAGCTGGAATTTGCATATAATTAGCATACTATTATTTTGTACTTGTTGGTAAAAGTTGCAATTAGCATACCTGCTTAATTACTTGAATTTGTATTAGCCAGGGGGTGGAAATTAACTTAACTGCACAATTTGCGTATAATTAGCATAATTATTTTGTGTTACTCAACATAATTTGCATATAATTAGCATAATTATTTTGTGTTACTCAACATAATTTGCATATAATTAGCATAATTATTTTGTGTTACTCAACATAATTTGCATATAATTAGCATAATTATTTTGTGTAACTCAACATAATTTGCATTTAATCAGCATAACTGCTCATTTTGTTTCAAATAACTGTCATAATTAGTAATAAAATATAACTGTTTAACTTGTATATTTCATCCTTTTTCACTATTTAATTGTTACAGTTTGCATATAATTAGCATAAATGCTCCCTTTTATTTTGTTATTTTCAGATACTAAGAATCTGTGAAATAATGAGTGGGCAAGTGTAACATGTCATCAACCCAAAACAGTGGAAGGAAAATGCTGACTTGGTTAGGGTATGCCAATCATTAATACTCACACACAGGAAACGTAAGTGATTAGTAACTGGTACTGACACAATTCGCCTCCCCCAAAAATGAAAGTTTCCTAATGCAGAATTTTGAAAAGTACAAACTCCCTTTCAGTTAGCATTTTTATGCACCCATGTGTACATTTTTGTATCACAGGTACAATGTTCTACGTTCCATGTGTGTGATTTGCACTGTTTCGCAATGCAATTTTGATGCACACAATACAAAATTAACTGTTATGATTCAAATGACTTATGTTTCCTGTTTGTAAATTTTAATGATTGATGACCCTTACTTGTTAGACACAAACATGCAGTTCAATTTTCCTTTATTTTTTGTATAAATAAGTCAGCATAGATTAATTTGAGTTTTGTATGTATCTGTGTTAAAGCGGGTGCGTCATCACCTGCGTACGCGCCGGAATTGAGTCCCAATCGAAAATAACAACTCATGCTAAAAACACAAATGTAAACAATGACACGCTATGGTCATCTGATGCATGCGCAGATGACGACTTCCCCTTCAACTTTCAAACTATTACAGAATAAATGGTATAATTTTTAAATAAATAGTTAAATAATCTAAACCACTAAAAACAAACATACACATTTTATACGAACAAAATTTATTATATAACACAATATTAGTATACAAAATATTTACACGAAAACATAAAATAAATGTACACAATAATTACATACTTGTATTATATACCAGCCTTTAAGATTAGATCATTCAGGTTACGTGTACAAGCATTAAAAACATTGGAATTTCAATTCAGCATAGTTTGGTTTATTTAACACACAGGAATCAGCTTCTTAAGTTACAGAAGACATGCATGTTTGGTCGCTGACATTGGCACTCCCATGGTGCATCATCAGAATTCTTTTTTTGAAACACACTATCAAATAGCAAACTATGGGTGTCCAACATAAGTTATGAGTAATGTCAGTTATTTTATTTCCATCCGCATGTCAACAAAACCACAATCTACCCCAAATATTACCATTATCAGATTTTCAAAATGATAATTCATTCATGAATGCTTAATTGTTAGTTCTGACACAGACAGTATAAATGTTGCCAAAATTATTTTTAAACAAACAAGCACTTCATAGCAAATTTTTATTACTGTACTTGGTAGGTTATAAACTAAGGAGTATCCTAAAACGGATGTGGTCTACTCACAAGTGTGTACCAGAACAGCAGGAATTCTTTCAATGAGAATGTGGTGTTGTAAATAACAGTGATGTCACCAGTATATCGTAAACCAGAATCATCCCCAAAATCGTTCACAATTTGATAAGGGTGTGTCATAAATGTGACTGCGGTTACTAGTTTACATTTCCACAAAATATACCAGTATGAGATATTTTCAGTCTGACAATATTTTTATCTATTAGAAGCGCATCTCTAATACCATATTTGCTCTATTAGAAGCACATTTCTAAGGGGCAACCCCACTTGAAATCAGGGAAGGAAAGCTGGAGGATTTGGATAAAAAAAATTCATGTGAGCTGAAATCAAGGACAAAAATTCCCCAGGCTAAATAGTAAGACAAATCTCTCTCTCAACAGAAGTTTAAAAAAATAATGCTCAGATAATGTTCCTTGCTACATTAATGTGAAAAAACAGTATGCAGTTGGCCCATTTCCTTCAACTCCCTCCCCTGACTTCCAGTCATCCCAATACCATATTTGTTTTATTAGAAATGTAACTTCAGTAGAAATGCACTTTAATAGTGTATACTTGATTATTAAATAAATGTAATATTTACTTATTTTGATCATAGACACATTTCTGTTATTTACATTAGTACATGCACTGCAAATAGAGCAAATACGGTATAAATTATAGTATAAATTATATTCTTTAGAAAAATTATGTCGCTTCATCAACATTTCTATCAGCAACCTCCTCTTCATCATCAAAATCCTCATCCTCATCATCTTCTTCCATCTGAAAATCATATTCTTCATACTCTTCATCATCTTCATCTTCCTCTCTAAAGACATCAACATTTGGAGTTAGATCATTCTCTATGCGACGCATGCTACGAACGTTTGCTCTCCTAGAAAAGATAAGATAAAAGACAGTGGGAAAATTATTATTTAGGAAGATTGAAATTATAGGACGATCTGAAACTCATGTAAATTCACATTACCATGGGAACTCATATTATCATGGAAACCCGACAGACAAAAAAAAATCATTATTTCAGAGTTTACCTTGAGATATTCTTGGCCAAGTTACGTAACTTTGAGAACGACATCAGTTCAAACTCGTCTTCTACTACTCTAGATTCAAATGTAATAGTACTAGTAGTAACTGTGAAAAGATTACATCATATAAACAATGAAAACCATTCAATAGTGTAATAACTAATTTTAGAACTCATCATGTTTTTTGTTTTGTTGCTAAATTTGACTAAAGATGCATGTGCAATGAAGAAAGTCTGCAGACTAAACCGAAATTAACACAGAAGTTATTATAGTAAAGCAAATTTATAAATGCCTTATGCAGAAGGAAGAAATGGCAATCAATGTCTAACAAAATGGTGCCCTCACATAAACAGGAGTTTTCAATAGACGTCTGATAGAGGGCGCTATGGCCTATACATATCAAGTGATAAACTCACATTGATCTAAATAAGGATGATAATTTAAAAAACAATACTTGCTCTCAAAATGTATCTATAGTAATAAAGTTTTGTAGCATATGATTTATATTTATTAATTACTCAGATCAAAGGGCAAAGAATAAAAATTAAGAGAAGTAGGTCTCATCAGCACATCTGTTTTTTGCGTAAGGCTTCACAGGAGGCTTTCAATAAAGGAAATCTGTGTTGTGGATATATAGAAACAACTTACATGACAACTCACTGACAGGTCGAATTCTTGATTGACCAATCTTCTGTTGTAAAGTCTGTTTTAATAGTGGAAAAATTTGCTGTAATAACAAATATGCAGTAATTTCTGAAGAAACAAGTAAAGGAAGATAAGCACACTAATTACATCTTTATCATCTAGAAAAATGCAATCATATGAAACGTATGTGATAAAAGTAATTCCAGAAAAACCTGACAAGCAATGCAAAATAATTCAAACATGTTATCAAGATGGACCAGACAAGTATTCCAGATGGACAAGACAAGCATTCCAGATGGACCAGACAAGTATTCTAGATGGACGAGACAAGTATTCCAGATGGACAAGACAAGTATTCCAGATGGACCAGACAAGAAGTTTAGATGGAGCAGACAAGTAGTTTAGATGGACCAGACAAGTAGTTTAGATGGACATACAGAACATCACATTAGTACTTAGTACTGACCAAAATTTGTACCCAGATCATGAGAAATAACACATGCTGACAACGACAGTGATAACAGCATGGACAAACTATTCATTTTTGATTTTTATTTATTTTATTTTGCCAGATGACATTTCACTGCTTTTTACTGTACTCAGACATACACTGTTCAGTATACAACAGTATGCTCCAGGAATCAAACCCAGAACCTCCCTCGTGTGAGGCTAAAACACTAACTAGCGTACCGTCACTAAAGTTGAGCAAACTAATAATCAACTCTCAGTTTTGAGAAGACAGACAACTTATAAACAAATTTTTTAGTTGAATTATAATTATTACCAGTAATGAAAGAATGGCACCACTATTTCAACTGCAAACACAAACATTTCTACAATTTCAAGAATTTTCTATATTCCACAGGTATTTTATCTTGCACAATATATTACTCGGTATATTAACCTTTTTCCCACCAGACTTTCTCGCCCAAATTTATCTGCACTTTTTTTTCTTCAATATTTCTGGAAATGAATCCTACTTTTGGAGCTAACGGGCAAGATTTTAGTAAATTTTAATTTTTTACATTTCTGACGGAAAGTACAGACTATAACTGAGAGTATTTTGTAAATTAGTGATGAAAAAAGGAAACTGGTGGTGAAAAGGTTAAAGAAAAGTTAGATAGAATAATACTGTAAAAGGGTTAATTATTCACTGGGTTTTAACTTGCTTATCTTGCTCACTGGAAAATGTGCTAAATTAAAACCCAGTGAATATGTAGAACCGACTGAATAGGCCTGAAATGGTAAATCAGCGAAATTTAAACCCAGTGATAATTAGCCATTTTACTGTAATAATTATTTCATATTTTTAAGGATACGTGACAATTTCATGATGCTAACATGAGTGTTTTCTGGATTTGTAGCCTGGGCTTCTCGGAATAATCTACTTCTTAATTTCTCATTGGCCAATGGTGCAATGGCGTCAACAGCTTCGCTGAATTCCTTATCGCTCATCATCCCCTGCTCCTTACCAGGATGTTGGAGAAGTTTGGCTTCACACTGAAAAATGATGGAAATTATTACTATTCAGTATGCATTTTACACATATTAATAACAATATCCTTGACACAATCAAGATAGATTGTCAATGTTTTAAATCATGGTGGATGTATTTTGAAAAAGTTTTACACACTTTGTCAAATAGCATGATGCTGTATCCCATTTGAGGTATTTTGTATATTTTATTGATTAGAGAACTCAACAAATAATATAGCATGTAAATAATATTAAACAATTAAATAATTTTTGTGTTTTCAATAATCACAGAACAAAATTTTGATCACCATTGGGAAAGCAAGGCTGTCATTGTTTATGCGCATACGTAGTACAGCAATCGTTACACACAAACATAATGATGTTGATGTATCTTTTTTACACATACTTTTCTGTATCTGATGTACATTTAATAATTAACTCACCAAGCTGTAAAGCTCCCACCCTTTTAAAACTGAAGGCAGGTTTGGGAATTGGAAGTTGTCTGGTTGCCAATGTCAAATGTTGAAACTGGTTGTCAAATGGGACAATTAATTTTTTTTTATAAATCAGAGTTTGTATATGCAATATTTATAGTCCATAATATAATAATATAATAATTTTGCTGAAGAACAGTTCAGTTTTAAACATTGTTACTCACCTCTAGGCACATGTAGAAATACTAGTGGACCAGTAATTTTATAATTTGTTTATAATAAAAATCAATAAAAATTATTGGACAACTACATTTTCATGTGGACAACCAGTTTTTTAGAGTGGTACTGGACACCTATATTATTTTTTTTTCTTTTTCGAACTTTGGAAGGCATCCCACATCAAATGTGGTTTATTTAATATGAATCCCTATCGTGACAGAAAACTTACATCTTGAAACCTTGGTTCTCTATATTTTAACACAATGTACATAAAATATTCCGACACCAAACCCTTGGAAATTTTGTTCTCACTAAATGAAGTATAACCAAGGGATAATTGTTCTAATTCATCTTCCTGGAAAAATAAAAGAAACAAATCTTTGTCAATGACCATTTGTATTTGGCAGGAAGAAGAATGACGTCAAGTAAACAAAACAAATTGGCTTGCATTTTCAATTGAACAATTGGTTGAGAATACATTCAAAATAAATAAAAATGGCTGTCAGATGGCCATTTTTGAATCAAACCTGATTTTATACCTGCAAGATTTATTTGTTTCATTTGTAAATTCAATATTTTTTTTTTTCAACTAACAATGAACATTATTGAGTGATTACTTACAGTGAGAAACGGGTAAAGTGCCGATGCAAACGCTCTGAAGTCGGCCACTTCTTTCCACTCCACAATGTCAATCAAATCAGCAATTGTTAGAAGATAGCGGAATGTACCAGCATCCAAATTACCAACCAGAATATGTGCAAATGTCTGCACAGTCTGTCATTAAAAATATACAATTTCAAAATGTTAATAAATGACTTATCAGTATTTGTTGACTTAGAAATAGGGAATGGTTGAAATATGACAGCCATTACTTTGAAGAAAATACTACATATGAAAAAAAGCATATAATGTACTGTCTATAAAATATATTTAAAGGCAGAGGTCACCATTCTGCTTCAAGTTTGATATATGACACAATGTGAGTGAAATATACATATGTATTCTTTATTTACACAAAATTTGATGTGCTGTGCGACGATCACTAGCCAATAAATTTAAAATTGTTATGACTCACCTTTAAATACTCAACACTGAGGCATTAATGATTGAAGTAATGAAGTATGACTCGCCTTACTCAACACTGAGGCATTAATGATTGAAGTAATGAAGTATGACTCACCTAACTCAACACTGAGGCATTAATGATTGAAGTAATGAAGTATGACTCACCTAACTCAACACTGAGGCATTAATGATTGAAGTAATGAAGTATGACT